CACCAAAACCCATTGCCACCACTGCTTCCTTGCTCGTTCCTGTCAGCAGGGAAGGAGAGTCCCTCCTGGTCTCAGGGCCACCCTCCAGCATGCCCAGGGTCCCCTGCCTCCTGCTTTCCCTGGGGTCTCATGCCACCATTTCCCATCTGTCCCCCTTACCTTCAACTAACCATTCCACCTCAATCCCCTCCCTCCCCCTGGCTCCCTCCCTCTCTGCCCACCCCTTCCTCTCCCTCCTCCTCTCCCCCTCCCCCTCCCTTTCCCTCTTCTCTCCTCCTCTCCCTCCTCCCTCCTCCCTTGTTCTTCTCTAGCATTGAAATCTAGTCAAGTTCCTCCCATCTTAAAAATATTTGTAACCACCCCCCAAGGACATAACCCTCTTGCGCTGCTACCCTCTTTTCCTTCATTGTCAAGAAATTCTTCCTTTGAAGGTCTTCTCTCCCCGTTTCATCCTCCTCTTCTCCCATCTGGCCTTGTCCCGTTGTGACCCTTGGTCCACTCCTCCCAGCACCAGCAGTGACCCCCTCCTGCTGACCTACTTTCTGGGCCTCCCTAAAGTTCCCTGCAGCCTGATCCTGTCCATCTCCTACTCAGAGACCTCCTTCTCTGAGCTTCGTGACCCCTCCCCCAGGACTAGGCCTCCCATGCTGCTGTTCCCTGCAGCCTGGGCACCTCTGTTCTGTCCTGGGCACCTCTCCCCACCCTCTGTGGGTGGGCTTATCCTCATGGCTACTCTCCCACCAGAATCTCAAATTCTACCTTTCTAGACCAGACTTCTTTGTGTGTGTGTGTTTATGTGTATGAAATACCTTTTATTTACTTTTTATGTTTTATTTCTTCTTTTTAGTTACACAAGACAGTAGAATGTATTTTGACATATCATACATACATGGAGTGTAACTTCCCATTGTTGTCACATGATGTGGACTTACACTGGTCATGTCTTCATATATGAACATAAGAAAGTTATGTCTGATTCATTCTACTATCCTTCTCATTCCTAACCCCCCTTTTTCCCCCCATTCTCCCCTTTCCAATTCAGTGAACCTTCACTCCTCCCCTTGCCCCCACCTATTGTGAGTCAGCATCCTCATATCAGAGAGAACATTCGGCCTTTGGTTTTCTGGGATTGGCTTATTTCACTTAGCATGATAGCCTCCAGTTCCATCCATTTACCAGCAAATGCCATAATTTCATTCTTCTTTATGGCTGAGTAATATTCCATTGTATATATATATATATATATATATATATATATATATATATATATATATACATATATATATATATATATATATCACATTTTCTTTATCCATTCATCTATTGAAGGGTGCCTAGGTTGGTCCTGTAGTTAGCTATTGTGAACTGAGCTGCTATAGATATTGATGTGGCCGCATCTATACCAGACTTTGCCCCTCAACTTAAGACCCTTGTAGCTACTTTCTACTAGATAATTCCACTTGGAGATTCCACCTGTACCACACAACTTGGCATGCCTCTGCACTCACACCAGCAGCTCGTCCTGCATTCTCACCTTAGTGCCAGTACAGCCCAGTGCCCTGGCCAGGCCCTCAGCCCAGCACACTCCTGCTCCTCCTTGGTCCCTATCCTCACCCTCAGTATGGCCTATGGCTGTGTCCTGCTTTAAATGTACCAAATCTTCCTGCCTTTCTCCAGATCCTCTGCCCATGCCCAGACTAGGATGCCATCAACACATCTGCCAGACTACCATGAGCCTCCCAGTAGCATGAAGCCTCCACAAAGGCTGGGCTTGCATCTGCCTTGGTCTCTGCTGCACCCCCAGCGTCCAGCACAGTGGCTTAGACTAAACAGACAGTCTGATGTTTGTGGAGTGATTGAATGTTCTCTCTTCCTCTCCCCACTGCCCCAGACAACGGTCAGAGTGACCTTTTTCACATACAAAATATCAAATGCTAAATAGAATGAAATCCCTTATTGATGCACACTGCCTACCATGTGAAGTCCAGTCTCCTTAGCAGATAGCGGGGGCCGGGGGGGCATTCATGAGCTGGCCCTGCCCACGGGTGCCTTTGCCAGCTCACCTCTCATCACCCTGCTGAAAGCACTTGAACTTGCAGTGGCACAGGATTAGGGGCCCTGGAGCATGCACCATTCCTAGTTCTTTGGCCTCAGATAATTACATGATGCCTCTGCATCTCAGTTCCCTCACCTTTAAAATGGGAAAATAGTGCCCAGCCCTCAGGGTAACTGCAAGGCTGAAGTAAGTCAATGTACGTAAAGTCTTCACAGCAGCTGCTGACACACATCAGCTCTAGAGTTACTCGCTATGTGACTAAAAGTTAGTTCTGATCCTAACTCTCAGGTGGCTGCTCTCACTGCTGTGCTGCAGTCTTACAGTCTGACCTCTGGGACTTGGCCTGGGCTCCTCCCTTTACCTAAAGGGCCCCCCCCTTCTCACCTGCTATTCCTGTCACCTTGTTGGCCCTTCATAGCCTCAGGCCTCAGCTCAGACGTGGCCTCCTCCAAGTCCCTAACCCATGGCTGGGACTCGGGTCACGTGAGGCGCTCACCTTGAGCACAAAAATTAAGGGCGAGGGAAAACAGCTCAGTAACTAAGATTAATAATAATAATATATTTTAAAATCAAGATCAATGCAAAATATTTGTGATGGAACTTTAAATAAAGAGAGTCTCCAACAGACAGAGGCAGGTCTAGGATAAAGGTGAGTGAGCCAAGTGCAAGGTCAGATTCAGTCCTTGTTTCTTCATTGGGTGGGTTGGATTTATGTGCATTTGTTGTGATTTTCTAAGGAAAAAATCAATTGCTTTGAGACTTAGTGTCTTGATTACTGAGTCCTTGGGACCCCTAAAGCTTTGTGAGCCTCACTCCCTGAACCTTCTTTTCAGCGTGGCCCTTCAAATTGGAGTCAGCTGCTTCTCCTGGATGCTCCCATAGCACCTTCCCCCTGGGTCCTAAATCCCCATCTCCTTGTCCGTTCAAGCATTGGTGATGGATCTCCAGGGCTGGTCACAGGGGCTGGCACACAGTAGGTCCTTATAGTACACCCAAGATTGCATTAATGGGAAGAGAAATTAGGTGCATGTGTCTGTGCCCAGACAGTGGTGGAGGGGGCTGGGCAGACTCCTTCCTCCTGCTATGGATGCCTGTCCTCTTGTCCCCATCACAAGAGCTACAGAGCAGAGGGACATGGACACATGTACCCAGTGTATGTTTTCTACAGTATGCTGGGGGCTCACTAGGAAACCTTAAATCTGGATCCCACCCCCCCATCAGCAGCACCCAGCTCTGTCTTCAGATGCCAGGAAACTTTCACCAGATCTCAAAGGCCTATGGGTACAGTCCTGGCATCCCTGGAGCTTAAATTCCAGGGAGCATGTTTAGAGACATCTGGAAGAAGGATGGCCCCGCAGCTTGCCTCTCCAGGTCAACTTGTAACAGGTGTCCCTACTTCATATCCTCCCTATGCCGGGAGCTCTGGGACCTGGAACAAAGGGGCCACCTTCCCTGGGCTTCCTTCAGCAAATCCCCTCCCCCATCCCTGTGCCTGCACAAAGCTAACTTCAGATCAGGGCTCAGTCAGGACTTCAGCAGAGGTGTGGAAAGTGGGGCCAGGAGAGGCCAGATGAGGGGTGGGTGGGCCGGCTTGGACTTGAGATTCCTTGGGCCTGGCACATGGTCATGCAGACTCCCTTCTCTAGGACCCTTGATGTTTGACTCAGCTCACACATGCGTGTATGCACCCCCGACCCACACACACACACACACACACACATGCTCACAGAGTCCCATAGAATGCTTTGTCCTGATCCTCTCAGCCCAGGGCTGGAGGTCCTGGTGTTTGATGTAACACGAATATGACAGTCAAGAGCCTGCCCATCTATGGCAGAGTCCGGGACTAGCAGGAGCAACCCTGATCAGCCCACAGAAACCTCATAGCTATGGCAAGAAAACTTTAACAGAATCATCTTGTCAGGGTCACACACAGTGATTTCCACAACTGGCTTCTGATGGCTCAAATGATGTCTACAGAAAAGGCAGGGTCCTTTGGGCCTGAGAACCCTGGGAAGGTGTCTGAACCACTCCTCTAGTGGCTCCAGGTGCCTCTCTCCCAAATCTCAGAACTCCTGTGGTCTCACCTCACCACCTGGCACCCCTGTCTTTGCTGTAGGGCACCTTCCCCCCCCACACACCCTGGGGCAGAGCTCCTCCCCCTCCCTCTCACAGCCCTAAGTACAGCACAGGTGGAGATGGAGTGACTCTGGAGAAACTCCAGGGGTGTGGCAGGGACGGTCTCCTGTGGGAGCACTTGGCTGGGTCCTAGCCGACTCTTGGGTAGTGACCTGTCACGTCCACAGCGTCCAGGCCCCCAGGACTGTCTCAAGAGCCCCTGCCAAACAGGCTGACTCACCACTGCTGGCTCAAGTGAACTTGAAAAATTGACTTAACGAGTCATTGGCTTCATTTTACCTGCTGCCCTCTCAAATTGAATTTAAAAAAAAATCTTCATGAAAGCGCTTCTATCTAGGAAGGCTGCCAATACTGAGTCTCGCTTAGTCTCCATTTTGAGACAGTGGCAAGCAGCAGGGTGTCCACTGCCTCCTCATCCAGGCTGGTTCTACTGCCCAGAAGTGGACTGTACTTAAGATCCGTTTAGCCACATCTGTCATCAGATGCAGGGTCAAGTTCAACTAGGAAGTCTCCAAAATTTGGGCCCTGGGATGCATAACCCACAAACAACCATGTCGGTCCACCTTTCCTAAATAAAAATCTGCAGGTCTGGAGTACTTCAGATGGAGCCAGGGTCGCAGGCATGTGCTAGCTGGAAGGCCAGCTGGATGCTGTGATCAGACATGAAGCTCGTCCCCTGTAAGAACGCTAAATGTCTACTTGTGTGACTCCGAGCACTGACTCTTGGCAGGAGGGCAGTGGAACATGAAATGTCCAGGAGAGCTATAAAGTCACCTTTTGTCTGTTTTCTCGTCTTCCTGTCTTTCAGAGATCGAGCAGGGCAGTTGCGGTGACCCTGGCATACCTGCCTACGGCCGGAGGGAAGGCTCTCGGTTCCGCCACGGTGACACACTCAAGTTTGAGTGCCAGCCTGCCTTTGAGCTGGTGGGGCAGAAGGCAATCACGTGTCAAAAGAATAACCAGTGGTCGGCTAAGAAGCCAGGCTGCGTGTGTAAGTGAGCCGGAGGCAGCCGCTGCAGGGTCCCCACAGAGAGGCAGGGCCCGTTTTCTAGCTAGTCCCGGGGCCCATCCTTGGCCACACAGCGCCACTTTGGTTGGTTTCTTCTGATCCTTAGAACATTGCTGGCTGGCTCCTCCTGTCTGGCAGTACTGTAGACGGCAGCATTGAGAGCGATTGCTCTCAACCTTGGGGGCCTTCATCACCGTCGTCTTACCCTCCCTGGTGATCCTTAAGAGCAAGGCAGAGACCCTCGGGCATGGGGCCCACAAGGCTCAGATCCAGACATTTCTTCCTCACCCTTGTTACCACGTCTGACACCACTCAATCAGCTGGGGCTGGAGGGACTGGCACCTCTACCAGCCTCCAGGGGCTGTGGGAAAAAAACAACCTGGCAGGACATGAAATATACCCTTCAGTTGCTGCCTCTTGTATGGAATTTAGGTTCAGATGAGGACTCTGGCTGTCTTTGGGTTGTTGATCTTTGGGAGAAGGAATGGAGTAAACAAGGAAGGGCCCTCTACCTGCCTTCCGCTCCGACGAGCTGGCCATACTTTGCGGCGCAAATGATATCAGAAATCCTCATCCCCAGTGGGACTCCAAGTGTGAGGGGCTCTGGGTAGCAAAGCAAGGCACACATGGTCTCTGTCAGAAATTCCAAGGTTCCAGCTTCTCTGGGTTGTCAGCTCTTCTTCTCCCAACCCTGGCCCCCTGACCTCTTCCAGCTCTTTCAATGTGCTTCTTTCAGGGAAAGGCAGAGAGCCTGCTCCTCTGATCCTTCTCCCACCCTAGTGGGCCACTCAGGACCTCAGAGTCCTGCATATCAGAGAATGATAGCCCCTTGGTACTGGGGAGGAAGAGACTGGGAGACTGTCAGAGTCTCCAATGATGAGGGTTTGGGGCGTGTGAGTTGACAAATTGGGTCGTAGCATAGTGATTATACTTTACAAACAAAAAAATAATAATTCTATCTGACAAAACATTTTCTATGACTTGTGAGTTTATCTGCATAAAAATTCTTCAGAGGTTTATAGAGTTTAAACCACTTTCAGATATATATCAAACAAATCATCCTTACTGAAAAAAAAAATTAGATTGCAGGGTCATCTGACCACCTCTGCTCTCCATTGTGGCTGGAAAATAATGTTCACCAGCTCCTTAGCTTCCTGGGAGCCATGGGGACAAGAGGAACATTGCAGAGACCAAGCCCAGGGCAGGAATGAGCAGAACAGGGCTCTGCAGACACTGGCTGACAACGGGGACAGAGAAGGCAAAGTTACAGCCTATGGGAGCCCCAAATACCAGGGGGCTTAATTTCTGAGATCCATCTAGATAAAGCCAGGCGGCAGAACTGGAAGATGGCCAAGTGTCTGGGACTGAGAACTGGTAGGATGGAAGTGGGAAGAAGAGTCAGCCAGGTCCTCAGGACCAGAACAAAACTCCCTGGCCCCATAGGCAGAGGGATGCAGGTAGTACCCAGAATGCCACTGGAGTCTTCCAAGAATTTACTTGACCCTCCGCCTCTTAGGAGTAGTTTCAGAACAGTTTTCTTAAACCTTCGCTAAAGGCAGAAAACCTTGTAGCACAGCTCATCCAGCCCTTCGTTTCCAGGAGCAGGGTTGGCAGCCTCCAGCCGGCTGGGCACGGCTTGCAAGCAGCTGAGAAGAAAAGAGGGCAGAGCTGTCCCCATAAGTATGGATTAGTGTTCTCTGTGGTTTCAAGCAAGGATGAGGGACCTGAGCTTGCTGATAAGAATTGCGAAACAGGCACTTGGGTGTGGGCATGGGGGCTGGCATTTCTTCTGCTGGACAGTTCTGGGATAGAGGAGGATGACATCCCTGGGTACAGAGTCCCAGGGATGCTGGCTTCAGTGGAAGAGACCAGTGAGAGCCAAGTGTCCCCATGACTCTGCACCTTTGTCACATCATCAGCTCATGGACACGAGGCACCGCCATCTGTCTATTGTCCGCTCAGTACCCAGCCTCTGAGCTGATGTTTCCTGAGGCCCTGGGCTTCGCCTCATAAGCTCGCCGTCTAATTGGTAGTGAGGGACAGTGATAAGGAAGGCCTGGCATGCTGAGATAACGTTGGATTCCAAATCTGGAGCCCTGATTCTTGGTCCTAGCTCAGCTTCTGGACTGTAGCCAGGGTGTCTCGTCTTGGATTTTGGTTTCCTGATCTACCCAGCAGGGCAGCGCTTCATTCTGGCTCCAGAAGCTCTAAGCCTCTAGGATCATATCCCTAGGGAAAGATAACTACAACATTTCCACAATGAATTCTTGGAAACCACTCCATAAAGTGGATCATTACAGAGCAGGCCATACTTTGATGGAGGGAAAGTTCTGCTCCTTGTTCTAGGTCAAATATAAAGTGTGTGGTCAACAGCAAAGGAGCAACATCTATAAATGCCTATAAAATAATAAGGTTATCTTCTATGCATTGTTGAGTGTTTGAAAATGCACACAGGAAAATACCTTCAGCAAAAGTCAGCGTAAATGTCCTGAATTTTACCGCTCATTAGTGACAATAAATATTAATACAAGACTTAGCGAACAGCACTGCTGTTTCCTTCTCAGGAGTTAGAAGGGGACTGGGAAAACTATTTTAATGGCTCAGATTTCTTTGAACAATTGTCCAAAGAAGTGCAAAGCAGGGCATTTGTTCTTCTCTTGAAACATTCTCTTCAAAACAGCTCTTGCCAGGGAGTCGCCCTGCCGAGACTGCACAAATAACACTCTTCCTTCATGTTCCCCAACATTTTCTGTGGCAGCCAGAGACTTCAGAATCATTCTGTGGGCTTTGAGCTGCCCTCACTGTAGTAGATCCTCAATAGACAGTCTTTTTCCACCTTGGGTTTCAGAAGGATGATATATCTCACAGCAAAAAAGCATTTTGAAAGAAAAGATGGAGCTGACTTCTTTCCTCTTGTCCTCTTCAGGTAATGCATGTCTCCAGGGACCACTGCTCAAAATCTACCTGAAGTAGTACCACTTTCCATTCATTCAGGGATATTTATTGTCTACCCTGTGCCACGGGCCCGGTGTTAGATTCCGAGCTATTCAGCCTCTCCCTAGGAATTGTGCTCCAACTAAGCTGTCCTGGGGAGAGAGCTTTGGCCAGGTTGCACACATTCTTTTCCTTCTAGAAGCTCTGCCTGTTTTTACCCATCCTGACTAAAAGATGGAGGGCCATTCCACCACAAGAGCTACGACAGTAAAGAAGATACAAATAACTCTGAGGGTGGTTTACACAGTCCAGGATGCTTTGTTGACAGGCTAGCAGAGCACTTCACACATCATAAGGAAGCCTGGAAACCAATTATCAGTCCATTAGCAGCCACTTTCAAAAGAAGTTTCAAAACAGCCTTCACCCAGAGATGAGCCGGGACAGCACAAAAGCTCACTTTCCTTCACCATTTTGCAAAGCGCTGTAAGAAGGTGTGAATCCTAATTGCTCAGGTCTTCCTGTATATGGCATATGTGTGAAATAAGAAGCCAGGGCCTCCTGGGGTGTGCACAGTTTAAGTTACAGATCAGCAGCCAAATCTGGAGAGGTCAGAGAAGGAAAATTGGGTCTCTTGGGCGATCAGAGAAAATGTCACAGGGGACAGAGGGCTTGAACCAGGCTTTGAAGAGTTGGGAGGTAAGAGAGTGTTCTGCGTAGGGAGGCTACAGGAAATGGCCCCTCCTGGCATCCTCTTGTCCTTTTGCCCTGAATTCCTCCCTACCCCCACTGCACATCCATATGCACACATGCCTCACCACCCCGACCCACTCCAGAAAGGAATGGATTGTGTCATAGGGTCCTTAGGAAGCTGGTCCCTCCCATGGACCATTACTCAAGTGTAGGATTAATCAATCTCAGCACTATTGATATTGCAGCTCAGTATAATAATATTGAAGATAATTGTCTGTATGGGACAGCTTTGGGCATCAAAGGATACTTTAGCAATATCCTATCCTCTACCCATCAAATGCCGGTAGCACCCACCCCATGCACCAGTAGTGAGAATCAAAAGCACCTCTAGGCATTGCTAAATATTCCCTGGTAGAAAACCCATCCCAGATTAAAAACCACTGGACTAGGGAAACTTTGTCCCATCTAAAATGAAGACCTATGTGGATTTACATTTTAAGTGAGACTGTGATTAAAGTCTATAACATTATGACAGTGAGAAAGTAGGGGGCAGGAGAGGATGCTGGCGCTTATTAAATGCCTCATTTCATTGGGGCATTATCTTGCCCACAATTTAGCAGAGTATATATTCTCTTAGCTTATAGATAGATGAAAACAACATTCAAGAAGATAAGGCCACTATTTCAAAGGCTGTGCAACCACTAAATGATGGTCTAAAATTTGGACAATTAATTGACGGAGCAGTAGCCATGTGAACCTCGATTCCCACTCCAAGTCCTGCCAAGGCTCATCTGCAGAAGCAAGGACAAAGAAGCCTTAGGACAAAATTACTGGGCCAGGGACCTGAAGCACACTGAGCTACCCCCATAAAGTAAAAGAGGTTGTCAGGAGTTAAACAGATCCATGAAGAATGGATCCATGGTCCTTATTAGAACTAGCCCAGTGCTGTACACCACCATGCCATGTACTGGTGATGAAATCTTTTCCAAATCTTCACTCTTTCTCATCCCTTCTCCCCATCCACTATCTATTCTCCTACCAAGCACAGACTCAGCAACCTTCTTAGGTTAGGGCTGTTCTTGATCAAATTCTCACCTGGAGGGCGTGGGAATGACCCTGCTCAGGCTGAGGGGGCGATTGGCTAGTGCCGCGTCTGGTGTGATGTGTTGTGACTCTCTATCAAGAAGAACCTACAGGCTCACTGCTGTGACGCACACCTATAATCCCAGCAATTCACGAGGCTGAGGCAGGAGGATCGCAAGTTCCAGGCCAGCCTGGGCAACTTAGTGAAACCTGTCTCAAAATAAAAAATAAAGAGGACTGAGGATATAGCTCAGTGGTAAAGCACCCCTGAGTTC